ATTACAGATTTGAATTTAATATAAAATAATTTCACAGACTTCTTCAATATCTTAATGCAATACTTTATTCCAGTATTTTATTTATTTTTTATAAAAAATTATTTATTTATTAGAAAGAGAGAGGGCACATGTGAGCAGGGATAGGGACTGAAGGAGACGAGAGAGAGAGAGAGAGAAAATCTCCAGCAGATTCCCTGCTGAGCGTGGAGCCGGACTAGATTTCACAACCTTGAGATCATGATCTGAGCTGAAATCAAGAGCCAGTCTTTTAACCAACTGAGCCATCCATGAGCCTCTATTCCGGTATTTTAAATGCACACACATACACACAAAAACACACTGCAGTAGTAACAAGTTGGTCGGTGAGCTGTCCTGAGAAATGGGTGCATATGAGAAGTTCATTGAATTCATTTTCTCGCCAAAAGTTTCCTCTTTTGGCCACTACAGCCTTGGTAGTCACCAGTCACATGGAAAAAAGAAAAAAAGCCTCTGCTTTTGCTTTTTAGAGCTCTCCTCAGGAATATATTATAAATTATAAATTTGTAAGGAGCAAAAATTTAAGGCATTCTGTTTGCTTTGTTTTGTTTTGTTTTTAGATAGTGAAGAATCCACAAGCGCATATCATTTAAAAGTTTAATAAAATGGTACATTTTAAAGATTATAGCATCTAGACTAGTTCAATCTGCGATTTAATTTATGGCTAATGTGTTGTATTCATTTTGCCTTCCAAAAAAGGTTAACTTTGAAATTTTATTAAAAACTCCCTTCCTTTGAATTTATAGATTGGGGTAGCTGTTTTATCCACTTGCCGTCTAGAATTAGTATTTACTGGACAAGAAGTGTTGATTCAGGAGGTTGTCTGTGGAGTGCTTGCCCCGTGAGGGTCATATTAAACTCGAGAGAAGCTTTTTGAGCAACATAGCATCTTGGAGACAATATATCAAGCTGATAGATACATGGCTCTTCTGTTAAGAAACCAGGGATGAAATTATGGCTGGCTCCCAGTTATTGCTTTGGTGCTAAGGAGCCTCTAAGGAATAGGTCTAGGATAAAAGGGGTTAACCAGAGGGGAAAGAAAAGTTTCCAGAATTCAGTGTTACTAGAAGCATGGAAAATGAATAGTTATATGTAAATAATTCAAGATGATCACTCTGGAAATATTTTGCAATTTTATATAATCAGTGTGACCAATTTAATGGGGCACATTTTTTTGGTTATCACTCAGAAGAGAACCCAAGATACTGTATTATTACTATGGAGCCTACTTTGGGGCATGCCTTCATTCTTTCCTAATTGCATGATCATGCAGTTTTAAACATGTGAATGGATTTTTGTGTATATATTTATAACTCCAACTTTTTCATGTTGATGACTTACCAGAACTGATTTTTCTTCCAAATTTGGACTGTTGGTGATATGATATTCCTTGACACATAAAAGTTAGGCAAGAAAATAGTCAAATGAGGGGCATGACTTTATATGTTCTACATCATACACAATTTTGTCCTTTACTTTTTGCCCTTGCCTTTTCGATATATGTCCATTTATTATGAATCAATTTAAAAAAAATAGAGCAAATAAATAATCATTGTTAAAACTATGTGTGTTCACAGATAAATGATCAATTAGCAAGTCTGTAGCAGTGGATTATGGGATAAGTGGCCCTGGACAGAAATCCTACCGCATCCTGGGCATGTCACACTTCTACTAACTGAGGGAGCAATTTCATTTCTCTTCAAGCATCCGGTTCAGCCTCACACTTCAGTACTGAGCTGATTGATGCCTTAGCTTTCATTTTGTTCACCGAGAAAATAGAGACCATCAGAAGAGAGCCTTGCTGTTTTTCCGTCATGAAATCTCCCTATCTCTCTATCAGCAGTCTCTGAATTCACTTCTGCACAATGGGTATACCATCCCCGCTCTGGTCAATAGCCAGCATGCCCTGCTGGCTTGCTTCTCTCTGTCTCCCACACAAGGAATTGGCTTTGGCAGTTATCCTTCCTTCTGCTACATTATCATTTCCCCACATCTCTTCTGGATCTTTCTAGTAGGTGTGCATACACTATAACATCTCCCAGTTTTTAGAACACCTTCCGTTAATACCAGAAGCTTCTCTAAATGCCGCTCCATTTTCTACTCTCCTTTAGAACAAAATCCTTCAAAAGAGTTCCCTGTGCTCACTAACCCCTCATTCCTTTCCCACCGTCTCCAGTCACACTGCTGTGCCCGCCACGGTACTGCATCTTTTCTTGGCACCTGTCACCAAACACCTCCGCTGGGCCAGATGCAAAATACAATTCTGTCTCTTTCCTTAAACTCTCAGTGCGTTGGACAGTTGATCAGTCCTTCCTTTTGGATCTGCTTTCTTTACTTCCAGGCTGTACCTTCTCTAGGATTTTGTCCTTCCTCATGGACCACTCCTTTATGCCTCATTTGTTGTAGAAGATTCGTCCTGACCTCAAGATGTTGGTGGACCTCATGGCTCAGTTCACAGACATCTTCTGCACTCATTCCATCTACACTCACCCCCTGGGTTATTTCATCAAGTCTCAGCCATTAAATACCACACACACCTTCATCCACAACTCCTATCCTGACTCATACTTGCAGCTTCTTCTTGGATGTCCCTCCTCTTCAATGTAACATGGTCAAAACAGAATTCCTGATCCCCCCCATAACTGATCTCTCCCCTCAGCATGCCTCAGCTCAGCAATGGCACCACCATTCACCTGGGAGGTTAGATTCAACACACTGACAGCATCTTTAACTCCCTCATTTTCTCTTAGCAAAATACCCTCCCCACTCACTTAACAGCAGATTATATCACCACCTCTGCTGCTGTCACTCCAATCCATGCTGTTGTCATCTTTTACCTGAATTGCTACAGTAGGCGATTTCCCTATGTCTGCTCTTGCCTCCACTCCTCCATTAGCATAGAGTAGTCTTTATAGGTTCCAAATTACACCATATCCTTTATTAAAACCCTGCAATGGCCCCCAAATCCATTTCGAATGGAATCCAGAGCCCTTAGTATATTTTCAAGGCCTAGAACTGGAAAGGATCTTGAGGGATCTAGACCCTGCCTGTCCCTCCAACCTCTTTTCCTTTCCTTCTCCATGGCCCACATCAGCTACATTGGCCTCCCCACTGTTCTTGAACAGAGCTGATGCTTCCCCTTCTCACTGCCCTTGCACTTATTGCCTCCCTGGCTGGATTGCTCTTCCTTCAGACACTCATGACCTTCTTTCTCATGCCATTGAGGTCTCTGCTCAAATGTCACCTAATAACATGTTCTTCCTATGATCTTCCTGCCCAGTCTGAATTGTTACATAATAATAAAATTGCACTCCTTTTCACTTTCTCCTCTCTTACCCTGATTTATTTTCCTCCTGAGCTTAGCTGTCTGGTAGGATCTTATGTACCCACTTAATGCTTGCTCCCTCTGTTTGCATCTAAGTTCCACAGGGTCAGAGGCCATGTCCGTTTTACTCGTTGCTGTTATCCCTCCACACAAAGAATTCTACTTTGCACAGAGTAGAGGCTCAATAAATGTTTATTGAATAAATTAGTGGATGTTGATGAACTCAAAACCCTTACAACAGATTGATGAAACTTGTAATGTAATTTGTCCATTCTCATCACTGGCCATTCATTAGCTTCATAGTTCACAGGCAGGTTCTCCTGAGGGGGAAAGTACATAAAACACACACACTACATAAGGCTATGTATGAGAAAAAGTTGAAAATGAAGTCTGAGAGTTGTTTTCATTATTTTGATCCCTTCTTCTTCTTCATTAATGATGTCTAGTAGTCTTTGACCATTAGAAATGTATATTACAATAATTAGAGTGTTCCTAAAAACTGACATTACAGTAGCACTTAAATTCTGCTGAGGGAAGTTCAGATCAGTCCAACATAGTAATAATAATAATAATAATAATAGCAACAATTAATAATTACGAAGTCCCAAAATAAGGTGCCTTATTTACATTGTCTCCGATCTTCACAGCAATTCTCAAAGAAAACTATCCCCATTCCAAAGATAAGAAACATTAAGCTCAGAGCCATTAGGTGATTATCCTAAATTCACAGAGCTTTGCTTAATTTCTTTTGAGTTTCAGGCTACCTTTGGAACAAATTTCAATATGATAGGTTCATTCAAGTTATACCTCCTGGAAAAATTAATTTAATAGCCAGAGTCATCTTGTCATTCTTTTAAAGTAGAATAGGCTTTAGTTTCACTCACTCCTGTAAGACCTTGTAGAACTATTCAAATAGAGTTCCCTGATAGATTATATCAAGTAGATAGGCTAAATTCAGGAAAAATTGGCCAGAGATTCAACTAAACTAGAAAAGGCAACATAGATGCTTCAACTTGCAACATATTGGAATAAGAGCAACTGACTGTATAAATCGCAGGAGGAGAGAACTTTAGTTTTTATATTTTCATAGGTGAGAATTAAGTCTGGAATGTACTGTTTTCAGCTAATCGTATATATTTATCATTGTAGAAAATACAACTGTAATAAACCATCCTCAAAAAAAAAAAAAGCCAGTTGTGTTCATGAGTAGCAGTGTGATTAAATGGCAATGGGTGATATATATGGGGAGAAATAAAAGATATGGACTCCTTCACTGTTTGATTGCTTGATTGCTTAGCAAAGAGTTAAAATAAAAAGGTACTTTAATATTTGGTTCACTAAGTTCCCTACATATTTTTAATTAGATAAACAGAAGTACAGGTGGGAATGTGCTGCATATTCATTTGTCTTGCTATTTGGGGGCTGGCTTTTAAGATTGAAATACTAATGTAATTGTGTTGAGATGAACAATAAGGAAGTACAGTAGTTCAGGAATGAAAATGTTAAATTAAATGGACCATGTTTAACATTGTTGTTGATCCTGAGGAACAGTTTTTCCAGTATATGGAGCATTTCGATTCCATCCAGCATATGTTCTCCACAGTTTTCTCTGCTCTAATTCATCTGTGTTTTTCGACAGCTCCAGATGGCGTGCTGCCTCCGAGGCTTTCATCTGCCACTCCAACCAGTCTTCAGGTTGTCTGGTTTACACCAGCTCGCAACAACGCTCCCGGCTCTCCCAGATACCAACTCCAGATGAGGCCTGGACACTCCACCCACGGATTTCTAGAGTGAGCATCCTACTTTGTCCATTCTCCTCACTGTCACCTAGATTATACAATGTGGACAGAACTTACTTTGTCTTAATCTTTGAATAGGTCAGTTCTCATTTGCAACAAACAAAGGCCACCTTTTAAATGTACAAATAAAAGACAAGTAACACCCTAGGGGATAATTATTTGCTTTGCAAAAATCTCTATTTTTCATTTATATAACATTAATATGAGATTTCTTCCCCCTTAACTTTCCATGAACATATGTATTGCATAAAGCAAGCATAAACCTGAACTGAGAAAAGAAAATGCTGTCTGAACTGTAGATACAAAATTACAATACTTAGTCTACAAATTCCACGTGGCAATCAGTCTCAATAGTAGTCTAGAATTTTCTCAATACTACTAGAATTTACATCTCATATAAATGCAATAGTACAAACCCTCAACCAAATGGCTCATTATTTTAAGAGAGATCTCATATGACAACAGAAAATTACAGTACTTAACTGTATGTTGACATTCTCTGAAAATTCTTTGCAATAAGATTTTACTTGTTTTTTTTTTTAATTTCTTTGAATATCTAAAGCTTCCTAATGAACATTTCTTTCCTATGTAGGTTATTTTCCAATCCTTCTGCATCGTTAAGCTATGAAGTGAGAGATCTCCAACCATACACAGAATATGAGTTTCGGTTGGTTGCCTCCAATGGATTTGGCAGTGCACATAGTTCCTGGATTCTCTTCGTGACCACAGAGGACAGTAAGTGGTCTGAACAATACACCGCTAAATGTTGTCTACATTAGGGATGAGTAAATGTCTTAAGTTTTTCCAAAACAGAGAAATAAGCATCCACTCTTTTCTTGACAGTTAGTGACAATAATCTCTTCTAGGGCAAGGGTAGTCAGACTCTCCTGAAAGAAGGAAAATGTAGGCTTGGGGGATTTGTAGGGTGAGGACTTCAGAAGAAAAATTACTATAGGAAGAAGTAATTTGCAATAAATTACAACATGGACCCATTCTATCCTTCAGGGTACATCTAGGTATCCTGCAAGAGGGAAGTTATCATGTTCCACTCAGTGTACTCTGCTTTGGAGGAATTCCAGCAGGCAGAAGAGCATGAAATAAGAGTCTTACTTCATGAGAATGCTTACTATGTCATTAAATGTTTTCCTGGAAGCAGAGTCCATTATACTTTCAGTCATACCTGAAAGACAGGCTTCAGAATAAAGAAGTATAATCTGATAACAATGATTCTGCACTATTACAAAGAGTAGATTGGGATTGTCTTATTCAATCAAGAGACTTTTCTAGTTTTTCACGAGTTATATTTACATATATATGTCTTGACTAGGTTATACATAGAAAATAAATATGTGACTGTAATACTTGGTTTTATATAAATTACTTCTATAAAAGCACATATATGGAAGTATAATTTTTTTTAGAAAAGTTTGAAATTAAATCAACTCTATGGAGTGAATGAGGACACTGTATCTTTGAACAATGAGGTTTTTAGGGTTAATCTTGTCAAGTCTTTTAATCAGAGGCTCCTTAGTGGATGTGGCTCAGTTGGACAATTGCCATTCTGGCTCTATATCCAATGAGGACCTGAATGACTTTCAAAAGGCTAGATATTAATCAGAAGACACGGTATTTGAAACAATATCAATTATATATTAAATAGATTCTTTTATTTCTCTAATACCCTTAATTATATTAGTGAGGATAAGACATCAAATGAGATAGAATCAGAACTATTTACCTTCCTTAAAGCTTCCTTTATTTTTTAAAAAGGCCATTATGAACAATAATACATAATACTTCATTCTTTTCTCCCAATTTGTAATTACTCCCTGGGAGCAAGTTTGGTACTTTACAAGGGCACATCCAGTCCTTTGGTCTCTTGGGTACCATTTAGTGAATTATCAGCACAGTGCAATAAACGACACCCAAGACCCAGAAAGCATGAATGCACTACTCAATGCACCTACACCCCATTTAGGGGGAACATCACACACACTCTGGGGAATCTAACAACATAGTCACCAACTGTATACAGATTTATGAACTAAAGAGCTCACCCTCAAAGTAGATTTTTAAAGAAACATTTTTTTAAAAACAACTGAAAATAGACTTTTAATTCTCCTTGGATATAGCTTGTTTGAAGGCACTCAGTAAAGGTTAACTAAAAATAATTATTCAGACCACTGCAGAGGTGGTGGCTCCTTAGAATGCTGCCTTGAAAGAGGAGGGAAATGGACTCCTTCCCCCCACCAATTTCTATTCCCACAGAGAAAGGACAACACTTGGATTTCCTCAGTGGTGATTCTTCTTCACTAGAGGCCATGAACTTTTATCTACAGGCAGGAAGTTATCACATAAATAAAGTATAAAACATTGCAAAGTACCAGTTAGCATAACATTCTTTGTTGAGCAAACTTCTCCTGCCTTATCTTACTACAAAACAAGTCTTGCAGACTCTATGTGGTTAGAATTTTCATGCACACAGACATTGCCTTCTTTGTGATTTGTAGGGCCTGGGTTTGAAGTGAATAATATTAACCCTTCATCTTGTTTAAGAATTGGTAACACATGACTATATAGCCGGTATTAACCCAAGAAACCCAGCCATCATTTTTATGTAAATCCTTTCTGTGAAACCAATGACTTCTTTCTTCTTCTGCTTCATGTGCACACTGCAAAGTCGTATACATTATGAAAGAGCCAAAGGCTGGCCATTTGCCCCCCTAGGTTAAGTCACCAGTGCTTGCTTACCCCCGAGACATAATGGCAGTGCACTCTATATTTTGGGTGTCAGTGGAGATGGATGCCATCTCTGGAAGGATGTGCAATTGAGTTGACAAAGAGTGAGTGATTGGCATTGGGCACAAGCAGTTTTTTCTGTCAGGGCTTCAAAGCATTGCTTATGAAACCACCCATGATGACAGCTCCATGCCAGATTTGCACTTGATCCTGACCAGCACCGCCCATTTGCCCAAGTGCAATTTCTAATGTAAAAATTCTACATATCATCTTACAGAATAAAACAGAGAAGTCACCTCATGCCCACATTTACATTTCATTCCATCAATAGGCACCTTTCTGCATCAGCCAAAGCCTCTCGAAACTTCCTGGGGCCAAAAAAGGTCACCAAGAGCAATATTTTTAGTGTGATATAGTAAGACTGTGATTTTCGTCAAGCTTGCGACATGGCTGAAACCAGAAAGAGATACCTAGGCAGGAAATGAACTGTACACAGAGAAACAAATGCTTTGAGTGCAAAGAGAAGTTCTCACGGACAGAGAAAAGGGTTGTGAAGAATCTTAATAGATTTTTTTTCAAATAATTTGTCATTTATATCAGAGTGCCACCAATATCCAGTTCCATGCATTTTTAAAAATCTAGTGTGCTGATGCCAAATAATAATAATGCACATTTCCTATGAATATTTTAAATCCTGTTAAACGTGTGTTAATAAAAGATGTTTATTCCAGCCAACTTGGTCAGTGTAGTGTTCGACTATTTGCAACCAGATAAATACAAACAACTCATGGTTCCTGTTTTGTGTGTGTGTGTGTGTGTGTGTGTGTGTGTGTTGTTGGTTTTTGGTTTTTGGTTTTGGGATGCTGCTGGCAGTCCAAGCACCTGGCATATCTGTGGTTTGCAGAAATACATTGAGATTGTGTTAGACTTGGATGCAAATGATTGATAACATGAAGACACTTGCCAAAGCACTGAAATTTTTGGATATTTTTTAACCTGAAATAACCATCACTCCTGATTATATTATTGTTCCCTTTCTCTTGTACGCTCACAATCGTTTTCTGTGCAGTATATGCATATAGAAATTGTAGTTGGCTGGAAGGGCAAGTTTCCTGTAACTTTAGCATATGGACATATACTTTGGCCTACTAAAATCCTGCCCTGTGGAAAATACGAGATATCCCACTTTTCTTTAAAAATGTGGATTCCCTAGACCACCAAAAGTCAGCTAATCTGTTTTTCTCAAAGTTTTTCAGGTAACAGGATTGAAATATGGAATATCTTTATTTCAGTCATTTTAACAGCAAACACTTATGGTATACACAGGCAATTAGATGAGCCTAATGAAAATGAGATTGTTTTCTAAAAATTACTTCTCTCCTTCCAAAACAAAACAAAAACTCAAATTGGTTCTGGAGTGGGCCATTGAGTTATATATTTTTAAAAGACTTTAAAAATTTGATCATTTTACTAAATTTGAAGTTAAAGACTCCACATTTGTATTTTTAACCACTAATTGAAGAGGCATTATTAAACAAAATTTGTGGGATTTGAACAGTTTATTCTGTAGATTTACTTAGGCAACTTTTCATGAGCTCATCATTTTGCTAACAGACTGTGAGTTTTGCCTGGAGTATGCTAGAACGTAGGACTATGTATCCTATCACCTATACAGTGGAATTTTAAGGATTCTTTACGTACTTTATGTATTCATTATTTTGGACCTTGTTGTTATTTTTCCCACACTTAACAATTGCACCGTGAACAAGGGATGAAGCAATGAGGGATACTATTCTAGTATCTGGATCCTGCTTTACTTTTTCTGTCAGCATTTTTGAGTATCCTCTCCCCAACCCCTCATTCATCGCTGAGATTCTCACAGCAGGTTACAAAGGAACAGAGGTTCTTCTGAAGCGAGACAGAGAGACATTGCAATGTTCATGGACATCTGTATCTAACAGAACACATTTCTTCCTCATTTGTTGTCTGGCAAAATCTGCTCATTTATCAAGACTCTGCTCAAACGTCACCTCCTCTGTGAAGCCTTCCCTCCTCCTTGCTACTGTAGAATTGTGATTTGTATTGTGCTCCATCAATAGCCGCTTCTGAACTGTAACTTCTCAGGACCTAAGTCTCTGTCTCATTTATCTTTGTACCATAGCCTCCCCTTATCTGCCATTTTGCTTTCTTTTATTATGAGTTATGGCTGTTAATCTCTTACTGTGCCTAATTTATAAACTATCATAGGTGTATATGTATAGGAAAAACATAGTATGTATAGGGCTCAATAATATCTACAGTTTCAGGCATCCAGTGGGGGTCTTGGAATGTATCCCTGCAGATGTGGGGGGATGACTGCATATTCAGTGCCTGGTGGAGGATCTGATAGAGAGCAGGTGCCCAAAAATTGTGAGTTGAAGTATTGATTAAGAAGACTTTTGTATAAGCAAACCCATGAAAACTCAACCAAGCAAACCTAACCGGGGACCTGCCCTGTCCCAGGGACTGAAAGAGACATCAAAATTACAAGGATGATGAAGACACTGTTCTTTCCTTGAGGCACCCATTATCTAGCAACGGGGACGTAGAGTGAAACCATAGTTTAGAGTATAGAGAACTAAGGCTCTCACAGAGGGAGAGCAAACCCAGAGGCCGAGCATTTCCCTCAACATGGGATGTCAGGCAAGCCTTCCCTGAGGTGAAGATGAAGAGACGGAATAGGGAATGATGTATATTTGGAGTTCACTTTAATATCACATTTCAAATTTATTTTCTCACAATTGGCCCAGAAGAAGGCAGAAGAAGCAATTGCTGTTGGGTTGTCCGCTGACACAGGAGACCGGGGCGGGGGGAGGGGGGGCTTGCAGGGTGTTCTGCCAGTGTTTTCAGCCTCTGTCTGAGATGAGGAGGGTAAGGATGAAAGGCAAATGTGAGAAGGAAATCCCAAAAGCAATCCTCATGCGCTGCCTTGGTCAGAGGCAGACTGCTGGCTGTCCCTTTGACTCAACATTGACTGTCTTGACTAGGATAATGGGTGTTCTAATTAGAGAGGCATCTGCTAGCCCAAAATCATGTCTATCTCAAAATGAAGCAGGGAAGGATATATAGAAAGAGAATTCCAGAAGGAAAACACTTTTTTTCTTATTCTCAAAACCTGTGCTCTAAGTCTTGTAACAGAGAGAAGTAAAACTGTGGTATGAAATTGGATTAATTGATCAAGATAATTCTAGAGCAGGATTTTCTAGATCATTTAATAAATATATTTGTGCTCTTAGGAGTATTTAAGTTTTGAAATTAATATGGCACGGCCAACATCTTTTTATTAGTGTGCTTTAGAATTTGAAGTCTCAATTTGCACCTTAAAAATGGTCTCTGTGAGAGAAAAAGAGGAACATTTTAAAATTAGAGTGGAGCATATTTGCATCAGTAGATTTTATTTTATTTAATGAAGAAATAGGAACTATAGGTTTCAGTAGTCCTGCACAATTATCTTGCTTTCTTCATTCTAAAGAGGCTTCCTAATTGTTTTAAATATTAACTTCTGAATGCTGATATATTTACCCTTTCACACAGTGATTATACGTATCTTATTTTGTCCATAACAGAAGATCCATGATGAAAAGTAAATTATTTCATCTGCTGATTTAGGGAGCAAAATGGCTCTGTATGCATATGACTACATAGTTTGTATTCTGGTGCATGGATCCCACCCCCCAAATTCTTGTATTTCCAGAACTAATAAAAGCAAATACTTATTATTATTTTTACATTCTTATTTTTATATCCTAAGATCCAAAGTTAAAAGCAACCAACAGAGACTCCTTTGAAAGGATGGATTGATTAATGAAATGTTCTATCTACCTGGCCTCAATTTCCCCGCTGAGCTCTTGGATCTCTTTTGGCCATGTAAGGCATACTGTTTTTCCAAATTGGGAACTTCCAGTTCTTTCAGGACATTTTTTATGCTTTAATGAGTTCTCACATCAACGCTTTTAATTTTCTGTCCCAGACTTTCAAGGAAGACTCCATAACCATTCACCGTACAATATGCCCCAGTTCTAGAAGTCATAGCATTCCTCCTAAACTATATTCTGCTCTCTCATGGGAAAAACGGAGAAAAAGAGTTTCCCGGTATTGGTTCCCCTACTGGCAGATTATCAAATAGTATCCTTTCAATTTCACCAAGCTTCTAGTCTTCAAAACCTCCTTTTATTAGACGCCGATGCGTTACGTGTGTTACACAGCCTGTTTCCTATTTTATCAGTTGCCGAGAAGCTGCACGTTTTTTGTGCAAAACAGAGTACACATTTTTAATATTTGTTTTGGGATACAACTGTCGTACCCTCTTCATCATCACAAGATTAATATTTCTTTACCTTTATTTTATTGGTCCTATTTCATTTAAGTTTTTTATCATGAGCTGTCAAAAATCCTTTTTGGGGAGTAGTTGAGGTATAAATAATACACTGATAAAAGAATTCATGATTAAAGAGAAGATAGAATCCATCACTCTTCTGCTAACATACCAGTAGCGAACATCTAAAGGCTACATTAACAATAAACATGTACTCTATTGCTATATATATAATTATACATCCATC